AGGTACGAACGTCTCTGCTTTAATAGAGGTTGAATGTCAGCTGGATATCGTGGACCCAGGACTGATTTGCAAAACCAGGGCTCTGTCCGCTCCTTCTCCCATCAGGGACCAGGACCCATCCCCTCCCTGGGCCTCAATTTCCTCATCTTAAATGAGTAGATAGAACCAGATATACCCTAAGTGTGTTTCGGGGGACAGGACAGGGTGAGGGGGTTGCGGTGTAGGCAGGACTCTCCAGCGGTGTCCCGCACACAGATCCCCTGGGATCTGATTTGAAGGCAGATTCCAATTTATTCATCCCTCGGGTGGGGCCTGAGGGGCTACGGTTCTAACAGGCTTCCTGCCACTGCTGCCGGCCGGTGGCCCACACTTTGAGTAGTGAAGGTGGAGAGCACAGGATGGGGTTCCCCAGTCGACACTCTGCCCCCCACTTAACTCCCTGCACTTTTTCCCTCAGCTGTGAAAGGGGGCCTCGTAACCCTTGCCTCGCCGTGCTCCCCAGGGGTGTTGTGAGGATGATGAGGGGGAAGCACCTGTGAAAGCACCTTGGAAAGTGTAAAGGATTATTGTCGTTGCAAAGATTTCTCCGCCTCATTGCTCCCCGCCGCCCCCCATGTGTTCCTGCAGCATCTCAACTTTCCCCTACATCCTCCCCGGTTGCCCTGCCTGGGCTGCTGAGTCAGTGTCACCAGCCAGGCATAAACAAATACTTGGACATGTCCAGGCAGGAAATGACAGTTCCCGGGCCCCCGAGAGTTTCAGGCGTGGGGCAAGCCTCAAACACACCTTGTGCGATCAATTCAGGTGATACCGAGCTGAGCCTCACCCCCACCCACCCCGTGGGGCTGCCGGACCAGGAAATGAGGCCAGAAGTCAGGGAAGTCCCTGTAGGACAAAGGGCCCGAGCACAGCCCTAGCCGAGCTTTCGGCAAGAGAGATGACCAGTCCTTGTTCCCCGCCAGCCCACTTCTGCGCCCGCCACCGGCAGCCACGCTGATCGCTCTGAAGTGTGTCACTTTGTTCACTGAGGACCATCACAGATGGTCCCACAACTCCCCTGTGAGGCAAGGAACTTGGGTGACTGAGGCAGGTCTCAGACTCACCCTGAACCTCAGGATCCTCGTCTATAAAATGGAGTCGACAGTGTCTGTCCTGCCGACGGTACAAATTGCTATGATCCTAGAATCAAAATGAAATAATTGGGTGAAAGTCGGCAGTGATGACGTGACGTTACGTGAGGTATGGCCTTCAGAAGAGACCTCCTGCTTCAGCGGAGGTGACTCTGCCCCGCCGTGAGCAACACCCCTGCTTTGGTGTTTGTGCTCAGACACCCCCTCCTGCACTGTGGATTGTCCAGCCACCTGAGTCCTCCACGCCTGGTGGAAACCATCCCCGGTCGCCCCCACTGCCCCAGCCCCAGTGGGTGTCCAAACACGGCTGGTTCTTCTCTTGCTCTTCTCAGGCCCTGAGGCCAAGTCTTTGCTGAACAGCTTCGTTAGATGGGCCTGGAAAGTAGAGACCCTGTTATGTAATGGACCCCAAGTCAGGCTAGCAGGCCAGGGCCAGACCTTCATCCCAAGATGCCTATGGCTGAAAATCTGGCTCAGGTTTGCCCCCTGGAGTAAGAGCAGATGGGTTTTGATGGCAGAGATAGGTAGAAGGCTGACCACACGTTACAAATGGAAATGCCTGTTGCCCAAGCTGGGGCCCCATTTTCAAGGCCACATACTTAGGTGACTACCAGAATAACAAAACCAAAAATGGGCAGGGTATCAAACCAGTCAGGCACATTCCAGGACCCTCCTTCAGCACAGGGTGGGTCCCTCTCTTCCTCTGCCCACAGCCGCTGCCCTGGGGGCTTAGCAGGGGCCACTTTGCCCACCCACCCCGCTCTGGCCTTTGGAAACACCAGAGGCCAGCAGGGGCCCAGGCCTGCAGAGCTGGGCCTCCGTTCATCTCAGCCAGCCCGGGAAGCAGAGAGGTCTCGTCTGAGGAGATGCAGATCCTCAGGGACGGTCAAAAATAACCCAGAAGAACAAGCCATGCTTGTCTGTGGGCGTATTGAGTTTCGCATCTGAAACCCAGTTGTGATAAAGCTGATGGTTTTGAAACATCTTTAATTAATAAAAATGGAGGCTGTCTTAGCCTGAGGTTTCAGACTTCGAAGTTCTCCTACGTCGAGAGCCTCAAATCTGACTTATTTGCGGAGCACTGAAATCCCTTTTAAGACAAACACAGGATTTTGGTTGGGTTGTTCCCCTCACCCCGCTACAGCTCAGTGGCGAGAATCGCTTTTAAATTCTGGCATAGGAAAACTGAGCCGAAAACCCCCTTACTGGCCTTGCAACCTCTGTTTTCAAAATCAAAACTCAGCTTGGATTTTCATGGGGAAAGTACAGGCTTTGGAGGCAGATGAATCTAGAATCAAAATCTGACTGTACCCTGGATATTGTCATCCTGAGCACAATTTTTGCTTCTCTCTACCTCAGTTTCTTGATCTGTAAAATGGGAATATTAGCACCAACCTCCTAGACATGAGGTGGCTGTACCTGGCTCAAAATAGACACTCAACAAATGTTAGTTCTCTTGCCTTTCCTGATATCTGATCACAGAACTCATTATTTGGAATTGAGACTGTTCTGGAAAACCCAGTTTGTGGTCTTGCTTGTCTTGAGAGATACAGTTCCACAAAGTTTTTCCATTCAAGGAGTTGTTAGGTTTCTGAGCAGGCTGTTTGTCTTGCAGTGTGTTCTGAACCTCTCCGTGGGAATCCTCTGGCTATGTGTAAATTTCCTCTCCATCCTCAGAAGCAGGCAAAGCATCCTGGAGGGAATACATTCATTGCAGTCTAGCTGCAGAATGAGTCTTCCCTTCCTATTTACAGAGGGAGAAATCTTGACTGTGTCACGTTTAAAGCAGAGGAGGAAAGGTTCTCTGGGATCCTGCCAGGGAAATACCAGAGTCAGCCTGACCTGGAAAGCTCTCCTGCCTGAGGCACCTCCAGGTCTGGTCTGAGTGTTGAGCCCATGGAAATTTTCCTTCCTGGGATCTACAGTGATGACTGAATTCTTGGGCTCCCAGGCGAGAGGCAGGGCCCTGGTTCAGTGACCTCCTGGTGATGTGTGAGGGACTCAGACCTTCCCTGACAGCCATGAAATGGTGTCTCCTAGGAAGCTATGTCCTATTTATCCCAAAGGATAGTGGGAGTGTCGGGGCGGGGCAGGGTGGGGACAAAGGTGACAGGTAAAGGGACTTGATGTAAAACTTGACTCCTTCCAGAGTTGCTCTTCTGGGCCTTTCTGATCTGATGTATGAAACTTGTACAGAGGTGGAATTGTTTCTGCCATTTTTCACACACAAGTTGGTGCACATTCCTGATAACGAATGAAAAAGAAATATGCCAGCTGTACACAGGGATGGGTCAACATTGCGTGCGGACAGCCATGGCCACTGGGAGAAAAGTCAAGTACTCACCTGCCCCAGCTGAGTCAAGCACAGGGCTTGACAGGGGGACCAACTCAGCAATGGCAGGCCCTCCCCTCAAATGCATCTCCCAGGCACCCTGTCCCGGCCCCAACACAAGTCTTTCTACAGAAGGCATTTCTTTCTCTCTCAGCTTTTTCTTAGCATTTGTTGATTTGTTTTATGCTGATTGCAAAAATTATGAGAAACCTACAGAAAGGTTTAAAGTAACAGCAGAGTTCCATATAACCCAACAGCCCAGAGGCAACCATGGTTAATAACATTTTGTCATGAATTGTTTAAAAATGTTTTTTTAATGCTTTCTTTACATTGTTCAATAATACCAACTATGCAATTTTGTTTCACTTTTTTTTCATTGAAGTATGATTGATTCACAATGTTTTAGTTGTAGGGTAAAGTGATTCAGTGATTCAGAATATATATATATATATCCAGAATATATATATATATTCTTTTTCAGATTCTTTTCCATTATAGGTTATTACAAGATACTGAATATAGTTCCCTGTGCTGTACAGTAGGTCCTTGTTGTTTATCTGTTTTATACATAGTAATGTGCATGTGTTAATCTCAAATAATTTAACATCATCTCTTAAAGAATTTCTCTTGTTACCAACATCACTTTTCATGACTGCCTAATATTCTGCTGCCACAATGAAGTATAATTTACTTAACAAATACCCTATGGTAAGGCTGTATTAAGTGGCAATGTGCATCTTTATGCATGAAGATTGTTGGCATCTTAGATTGTTTCCTTAGGTTAGATTTCTGGAAGTAGCACCCTAGGTCAGTAGTTGGGCACGTTTTTAAAAGGCTCTTTATACATATTGCCAAACTGCCCTTTAGATAGTTTACACCAGTAATATTCCCGTTAGCAACAGTCTATCTTACTTCATCCTTACCTGGGTCGAGTATGATTCTGCTTACTCATTGAAGAACTTAGAGGGCAGAAACGTCCTATCCGCATCTTTGCTGTGGGGAGATCAGGGGATGTGAGGCACCTGACCTCAGAGCTAAGAGGCCACCTCCCCTGCTCTCCTGTGCCCCCTGCAGTCATCCTCAGGGAAGCGGAGGACATATACCCGCTTAGATGCCATGCCTCCCCATCAAAGGCTCTTGCTGTGTAAGGACACAGCCACTCAGCTTTCATGATGGAGTTACCCAGGCTAGGAGCTGATATGCCTGTTTCCCATCCAGCATCCTCCTTAAGCCACTTGTCTTCTGGCCTAGAGGTGTCCCCAGTCCCTTTCTTTCTTTCTTTCTTTTTTAAATTGAAGTTAGTCAGTTACAATGTGTCAATTTCTGATGTACAGCATAATGTCCCCAGTCATGCATATACATACATATTTTCATTTTCATATTATTTTTCATTAAAAGTTATAAGATATTGAATATAGTTCCCTCTGCTATACAAAAGAAATTTGTTTCTTATCTATGTTTATATATAGTAGTTAATATTTGCAAATCTCGAACTCCCAAATTTATCCCTTCCCACCCTCTTCCCCCCAGTAACCATAAAAAATATGGAGCGCTTCATGAATTTGCATGTCATCCGTGCTCAGGAGCCATGCTAATCTTCTCTGTATTGTTCCAATTTTAGTATATGTACTGCCGAAGTGAGCGCCCTAGACCCTTTCTAAGCCTTTCACAGAATCCCACTGCTCCTAAGAAGAGCCTCTTACAGAGCCCGGGTGGCTGTCTAGGTTGGAGTGGCCCTGGGCAGTCTTACATGTCACTCTTTTATGTACTATCCGATCAGATGCTTACGACAGCCCTAGAAGGCAAAAGTTCATTCCCCTGTTTACAGGTATACTCTTTTCCTAGGACAGCCGTCACAAATTCCCACAAACTTGCTGACTTAAAACAACAGAAATTTATTCTCTCATATTTCTGGAGGCCAGAAATCAAGGTGTCAGGAGCACCACGCTCCCTCCAAAGTCCCTATGGGAGAATCCTTCCTTGCCCTTTCCATCCGAGACTCCCTTACAGGGTGGCTGCTTGATGATGAAAACGAAATTTGGCTCCCTTTGCCCTGGGAACCTCAAACACCATCTCACTGTTACTCTGTTAGCGCGTTATTGTTAATTACATTGCAACTATTCGTGAACCCCTTAAATGAGACTCACTCTTTTATTCCCCATGTGATAAGTGGGGAAATTAAGACCTAGAGTAACTAGAAAAGTTAACAAGAGAATTCCACTGATAACCTAGATGTCTGGATTTATAACCTACATTCTAAGCTTTAAAGTATGAGTTGCGATCGTATATTGCAGTTGTGAATGTAGATGTCAAAATGACTGCTCTTTTTTACTGGCTTTTTTAGACTATTTTTTAAATTTATTAAACTATAGTTGACTTACAATATTGTGTTATTTTCAGGCATGTAACTTCAGATTCTTTTCCATTTAGGTTATTATAAGATTTTGAATATAGTTCCATGTGCTATACAGTAAATCCTTATTTTTGATCTATTTTGTGTATAGTGGTGTATATCTGTTAATCCCATACTCCTAATTTATCCCTTCCCTTCCCCTTTGGTAACCATAAGTTTGTTTTCTATGTCTGTGAGTCTGTTTCTGTTTTTTAAATCAGTTTGTTTGTATTTTTTTTATTCCACATATGAGTGATATCATATGGTATTTGTCCTTCTCTGCCTGCCTGACTTCATTTGGTATGATAATCCCTATGTCCATCCATGTGGCTGCAAATGTCCATATTAACTGAAAATAGAGTTACCATTTGCTCCAGCAATCCCACTCCTGGGCACATATCCAGAAAAGATGAAAACTCTAATTCAAAAAGATACATGCACCCCAGTGTTCACAGCAGCACAATTCACCACAGCCAAGACACAGAAGAAACCTAAATGGCCATCGACAGACAAAGGAGATGTGGTTTTTGTATGTGTACGATGGTATATTACTCAGCCGTGACTATTTTAAGTTGCAAAGAAATTCTTGGTGTCTCAATTACTGTTGAACTCCTCTTCCCTGGCTTAGGTGCTTTTGACACGTTGGCCACACATGGCAGTCTGTGCATGGGCCTCTGATGAACAATGAGTAATCCCTTCCCACTAGCGGCCTGTGAGGACAGATGTGCACGACATCACCACATCTGGCTGTCCAGCACCTCCTGGCTGGCCAGCGTTAGCTGAGGAGTTTCTCTACTTTGCTGTTCCCTTTCCTTTCTCTCGCTAACTTCACTTCTGAACTGGAGCAGTAGATCCTTTAAAAATGAACTAACCCCAAGGGGTGGGGGGTATAGCTCAGTGGGAAAGCACGTGTTTAGTATGCACGAGGTCCTGGGTTCAATCCCCAGCACCTCCATTTAAAAAAAAAAGTGGAAAAAAATGACCTAACCCCAAAGTCTAAACGCCTACAGCCAAATGGATGAATATGGGACAAACATGGCACATGGCCACAAGAATGGTGAGCATTAGATGGTCTGAGTCATAAAAGGTTGCTGGGGCCTAGGCCCCTTTGCTCTGTGCTACGTCTGTGGATGTGGGGTTATGGTTGTTTTGGGAACCACCCTAAAGGATTGTAGAGAAGGGAGGTCCCCCACAGCGCCAGCCTCGAGCTGGGTTTGGTGAGCCAGCTTGGAGAGCAGGCAAGGAGACTCTCCAATGGCCGTTCCTTATTTATCATCGATGTCATTGCCATCACGCGCTGTCACCCAGAAGGGCTTATGTCCTGAAGAGCATTGTTTAATGACAAGTTTTGCACTTGGTACCTGACCTCCCTGGTGGCGGGAAATCTGATCAACAGGCTCCCATCAAAGTCCAAACCCTGGGCTGACAGTAACAGATGCAAAGCGGGGACTGAGCCACAGTCTCGTGAATAGCGAGGATGTGATTAGACACTATCAGCTCAGGGGAACATCCCACCTCCCCTGGGCCGCCTCCGCCCCCTGGGCTTCCGTGCCCCTCGACAGTGGTGTACAAAAGACAGAGCACGTGTCCCCTAGCCTCCCCTCGAGCTGGCTGGCTCACCAGCTGTCACAGCATGCCTCTAATGGGTTTGTGAAACCCAAGAGCCTGACCCATTTCTCCTCTGGGGAGAGTGTAACGCTGGATGCCAACCTAGGAAGCAGGATTCGGGACACTCAGCTGTATGAGGCTGGCTCTCGGTGCCATTCAAGGCAGGTTGTTTTGGTTCTTCCAGTTCCCAGAATCTCAGTGCTAAACTCAGTGCACAGACAGCAGGAGGGTGATATTGTGACACGGTTTCCTGCTCACTTACAATCTTCTTCCTTCCTCTCATTTAATTTTAGCTCCTTCTTCTGCCTAGCTCCATCTCCAGAGGGACTGTCAAATTTCTCAATGATCATAAGCAGTCAATAAACATGTTTTGAGCAATCGCAATGCACCAAGTCCAGTGCTTATTACAGACTTATGGGTTATGGAGGAATCCATGCCCTCAAGGAGCTTCTAAACTAGGTTGAAGAGCAGATCATGAGAATAATATAAGGCAGTGTGGGAAGAACACAGGGGACCGATCTAGTTAATCTGGGATCCAGGGATGGGCTTCGGAGGCATCCATCAACACCCTGAAATGGCTTCCATCATTTAATGTAGGCAGACACATTTTGAGGGGTAAGTTTATAGCTTTCATCAGCTTCACCCCAAAAGGTAAAGAACCTTTTGTACAGTCAGACTGTGGAAGAGTGCTCACTCTAACTTAGTCACTCAAGATTTCATTGAGCAAATGAGACTTGAACTGAATCTTAGAAAATATATTCAGAGAATCGCAGGGTGGTAGGCGGCCCTGAAGGAAGAGGTTCCCAGGAGGCATCGGGGAAGACTGTTACACTTAGAACCAGTGACCTGAAGTTGCCTCACTTCGCTCAGTCTCAGTATAATACGAATCTGTAATAAAAAATGGTGATAATTGCTGCTTCCCAGGGTTTTGGAAGAGCCATGAGCATTTTTTTTTTGGCTCACTTTATATCCCTACCCCTTAGCACAGTGCTTGACTCATATCACAGTGGACAGTAATCAATATTTGATGAATGTGGGAGTTAAGTAATAAACGTGAGAGGGCTGGGTAAACAGCAGAGCATTGCTTCAGCAAAAGATCATTGTAGCTAAGTACATATATTTCGTGCTTTGCAAACAGCCTGCCCTAAGTGTCTTCTCCCCCTTGAAAGTGACCCTTTCCCCCGTAATGGGGCTCAGAGGGCCAGCCCATCTGACGGAGTGTCTCTGGGCTGGCCAGATGAATGATAGCCGTGCCAACCATGCTGACAAGATGTGCAGGTTCCCTCAGAGCCCAGAGGTGACCTCACTCTCCAGGGGCTTGGCCTCTAACCCCAGCCCCTGCTGACACACACACACCTGCAGCCCTGCTCTCACGCCGGGACCAGGAGAGCCCGTGTGCGCCTAGGCTGCCCTCGTCTGTCCTCGTCTGTCTGGTGGGGCTGGAAGGGCAGGATGGGACGGGGGCATCGCCGAGCCTCTGCTGGGACTCCCTGAAGCACTAGGAGCAGGACCACTGATTGTATCTCCTCTGGGACCTCTCAGGACACTAGAAACAATCGAATGTTCCTTTGCTGAACACCTTTCGTATCCCCAGCCTCCTACCCACAACGTTCTCGCGGTGCCCACGCTAAGGGAGAACAGCCTAGACATCCTATCACCCTTTTTCTCTCCTGTGTGCCGCCAACAGACAGCATGGCTCACCAGCGTTCCCATGAAACTCTAGGGAACTTGGGCTGGTGTGGGGGTGGGGAAGACTTTGGAAAGGCGGTGGTGGAAGGTGACAGGAGTTCTCAGAACCAGTTAGGAAGGACAGAGGTGACTTCTCCCCGGAACGGTTCTCCGCTGCGGATGCAGCTGAGAGAGGCAGCGTGAGAGCTGAGGGGATGAGCTCCAAGCTGAGAATTAGGAGCCTGTGTTCCAGATCTGTCACTGAGAGACTTACTCTCCCTGAGCTTCCAGCTCCTCTCCCATGAATTGCAGTTGGTCCCTCTGTGCCTCTCAGGACCACTGTGATAGTCGAAGTTTATGACGATGCTTCAAGTGGTATAAAGCTCTACACGTTTGTTATTCTTAACATGTACACGGGCACGGTCCTTACACGCCAAGCACGCCCTGGGTGCCAGGTGCTCTTAATTTATCTCAGGCCATCCTCTCAACACCCCTATAAGATTGTGTTGTTGTTCCGTTTGTACGGCTGAGGAATCAGAGACTCAGAAAGGTAAAGAGCTTGCCCAGAGCTAACACACGTGCAGCTAATATGTGTCAGAGCCTCTTTCTGTTTCCTTTCTCCCCGATAACACTAGCCCATGATCCTTTTCTTCCGAACACTGTTGCTTGTCCCTTAAAATACGATGTATTCCTCTGGCCTTTACCATCTCTCGTGGACCAGGCCTCTTACCTACACCCTCTTGCTATAACATCTTGCTGGAGTGTTTTGTTTTCCTTCTGCTTTTCCTTCTGATACCCACTGTGGCCCTGAGATCAGCTTACCTGCCCTGACCCCTAAACACAGGACGTACAAACCTTGACTGAGCGCCTTTCTGGAGGCAGCCCCCTGCTCTCGTGAAGCAGGAAAGGAAAGATCATTTCCTTCCCTTCCCCAGGCTCTGAGACATCCCTGTCCACAGACAAAGCTGCCGCCCCGGCCCTGAGCGCGCGGGGAGGAAGCGTGCGCACGTTTTACCATCAAATCCTCTCTTCTGGAAATTACTAAGCCTAGGCTTCCCAGGCAGACCTTTCAGAGAAGCAGGGGCGCTGCAGCTCTGGGAAGTCAGCTCGGATCGGGGCAGCTCAGGAGGAGCGCTCAGACTCCTGGCAGGACCCTCGCTCAGTCTCTTCCCCCCTTTGAGACCGGACAGAGTGTTAGCTCCACTACAGAGACGGGAAAAGGAGAGGAGGCACTTGCTCGCATCTCTCAGTGGGCGGGTAGGGGAACCAAAAGCTAAGCTCTGAGCGGGGAGAGTAGAGCTCAGTGGTAGAGTGTGTGCCTCGCATGCACAAGGTCCTGGGTTCAATCCCCAGCACTGCCATTAAATAAATAGATGAATGAACCCAATTACCTACGCCCCCCCAAAAAGATAAATAGATAAATTTTTTTAGAAAGCGAAAAACCTAAGCTTATGTCACCAGTGCCTCCGTGTCCTTGAGGACTGGGCACCTCCGAGTTGTTGCCAGTGCTGGTTGAGTGTGGGCTCCGAGGCAAGACTAGATGCCCAGGCCCTGGGAGGGCTGCCCCTTAGAGCTCCCCACCCGCACTGCCCAGCGCCCGGCCCGCTGGGCCACCTCCTGACCCCACCTGATGGAGGGAGACGGTAGTATAAGGCAGCTCTCTGTTCCTGGGCCCTACCTGACAAGCTGATCCCCCGCAAGCCACTCTCAGGGTGGGCCTCTTCGTGGGGAGACGCATTTATAGACGCTGCCCATTCCCCCAGCACCGGGAGTCTACCCTACAATTAGGCAAGAGATAAATCAAAGCCAAACTTGGCTGATGACATTCAGGAGCCAGGACTGACCCTTGCCACACATAGAAATCCCAGCAGGCCAGCCGAGGGCCTTTTGTCTGGTCAGGAGAGCCCGGGATTATCTGGCCCTCTTTGCTGATGTATGGAGTCCCCGGCTGTCGGAGTGTTTACTAACGGTTATCACCTCGATGCTTTGGCCATTATCAGAGGCAGGGCCGCCTGCCGGGGCCGGGGCTCGCACCCTCTCTATTACCACCTGTCATTGGCAGAGAGTGTGCGCTGACGCTGCCCAGTCCTGACTGCCGAGGGAAGATAGTTTCTGACGGCTGATCAAAGAGGAGAAGCGAGGCCTGATAAAAGGAGTGTGTGTTGGTGTACTTTTAACTTCGGGAAACGTTGGCATTTGCATTTTTTTCCCCATCTTCCTGGTGCTGGCAGGAACCAAGGCCAATAAATGCAGTGGATTCAGTTACCTAATCGCTGGGGAAATGGTATGTGCTTAAAGCAACAGAGCATGACAATAATCGCCTTCCAAGAGAGGGTGGATGAAACAAGCTTTCACAGAAGACTTGCTATATAATAAAGTAGAATAATTTAAATTTAGTCTTTGAAGCGATCTTGCATGTAAAAATCTAATCTTGGCGTTCAGCAGAGCTCCATGTACTTTCTGGAGTTGGGGAGCAGCTCCAGATTGAGGAGAGATCTTCACTGAAGATGCTGTCACCCACGTCTATTGCTGCCGTCCCCAGGATGGTGCCCCAGTGGTGCGCATGTCCTTGGGCCTCTGGGAGACTGTACGCAGCAGAGTAGAAACAGTTCTTGACTGAGCTGTTAGAAGATCTGAGTTCTTGAACCAAGTCTGCCACAAACTTGCTGTTGGATCTTGGGACGTAACTCTTTTGAACTTCAGATGTAAAATGAGATTTGGTATAGGTGAGACACAGTGTCTTAGAAGGCTTTTGTGTGTTAAGTGTATGTAACCCCTTTTTCATATGAATCTTTGGGTGAAGCCTTATTGTATCAAGCAGAGAAAAAAAGAGGGGTTTAGGATGAACTTGGAAAAGAAGTTCCCTGCCCTTGACCTAGTTCCTGAAGCAGTCTCTGAAGACTTCAGAGAAACCCTGTAGTGCCTCTGAAAACAGCTGAATAAACCACTAGCCCACGACATGGATGTGGAGGTCTACACACTCTGATCCAGTGGCACGAGCTGTTTCGCTCTGCCCTGCGCATACGTGTTTCATGGTGTCCCCTCCTTCATCCACCCTGTGGAAGAGCAGACATGGACCCCGGGCGGGGCGGGGAGTTGGTGGGGGGCAGATGTGGGGAACCGACTGCTCTCTGCAAGGTGGACTCAGCATCGGATGTCCCCTCTGTGCTGCAGGTACCTTTGACCGGAGCGTGACCCTGCTGGAGGTGTGCGGGAGCTGGCCCGAGGGCTTTGGGCTGCGACACATGTCCTCCATGGAGCACACGGAAGAGGGCCTGCGGGAGCGGCTGGCGGATGCCATGGCCGAGTCACCGAGCCGGGACGTTGTGGGATCCGGGACAGGTACAGGTAGCCTCACGCTTCTAGCCTGACTTGGCAGTGACTGGCAACTGTTGGTGTGGAGCTTCTCTGGCAGGAGAGGCTTGTGTTTGTTTTAACTGTTTGTTTTTTTTTTAATTACTACTCTGATTGCCATCATGCTGGAAGCTTCTGGTATTGGGAAGCCCAGTGTGGAAGGGAGTTCCCAGGGGAACTGACCCCTCCTACATGGAACAGTGCATACAGAAATGCTGTGGTTACACAACTGTGTTGTATAAGTGGTTTCCAGAAGGACGTCTTCTCCCAGGGAAGGGACACCTTGGTGTCCCTAAGGTTTTCAGCAGCCCTTGGACACCAAGTGCTGAGGCAGCACACCTTCTGCTGTGCTGGAGCATCAGTGGGCTCTGCCAACCTGGGAGAGAGCAAGTGGGAAGCAGGCAGGGCTGGTGTGACCCCCTAGACAACTTTGTCTTATGCTGCCTTTTGCCTTTGCACTCTTGCCTCTGAGAGGGACCAGCAACTGGGGCCTGGGGTGGCTTCTCGCATCCATAGAGCAGTCAGAGACATCCTTAGATGATGGGTGAGCCTGGCCCCAGGCAAGCAGGTATACACACACACACGTGTGTGCACACAATTACCATCCCGCCATCTCCACACAATTACAGTGCAGCCTGCCTATCCTTTTTTCCAAAGCACCCCTGCATTCCAGATATCTGTACTGTTAGTGATGGCTCTCGTCCGGCTTTTATACCTGAGGATGACTGCTCCACAGGCCTCTTCCCAGTTTTCTGAGGTCAGCGGGAACTCTGTGGGGGGTGCACCAGATCCTGGCTGCAGGCTCTCCCACTCTTGCCTGCCTGAATCCTTGCAAGACTATGATTCTTTCTCGTGAACTTCTCCATCCCTGTTCCAGGTGTCTAGCTGGAGACAGGATCCAGGGA